TGCATACTTGTTTAGGTTGCATTGTATTTGGCATACTTGCTTGCATTACATTGTGTTTGGTTTGGGGTGTCAAGTCAAACACGAGGACCAAGGGACGTTTCGTACTTGAAGTGACGAAATGTGCCCCAATCCTCGGTCGCCGATGCTCTTGATCAAGCATGATAGAGTTCTAGGCATTCATATGTTTTTGTTGCATTCATTCCACATTAATGTGCACACTTGGCTCCTTTGGCCATCATGCATTAAAATGCGCGATTAATGGTCTGAGGGTCGCGGACTACACCCCTTTGAGTCTCAAACATGATAAGGGGGGTGGTCATGCAAACATTGCCTTGTAAATGTATTGCCATGCTCTGTTTGTCCTCTGCTGCAGCAAAACAACATTCTGCAGGAAGAAATGGCCGGTTGGCTACTTTCAGTGCCGATCGGCTAACCATTGTTGGCCGATAGCATCATAATTGGTTGATGGCACCTTTCCATTGGCCGATGACCACTCTTCTTGGCCGATGGCCTCTCACAGTGTACAAGAAGTGATTCTGGAGCATCACAGAGACTTGTGTAGTCTTCATACAGAGCAGTGCAAACAGCGGCAACATGTAGCATGGCGATGGATTTCCGAGCGAAGCCGTCCGAGCATGCATTCATCCCTCGTCTCGAGGCCATTTCAGTGTTCTAATAACTTAGAATAGTTATTTATTTCGATTTGGTTATGTAATTAATTAATTAGCTTGTTAGTTGATTGATTAGTTAATTTGTATTATTCCCTCCGTCGAGAGGGCGATTTTGTAATAAGTGTGCGTGGTGTGTGAATGTCTTCCAACCCCACGTCTTTCTCCCTTTACTTACCTGCTTTGATGGTTAGTTTTAGGGCATATTTCATTTAGCATCCTTATGCTATGCATGTTTGCATCCATTCATTCGTATTGCATGTACCGGGCTCGGCGCATCATACTAACTGCATGGCATTTCAATTCCAAGTTGAATACATGTTATCTGCTGCATTTCATATGCCATGTTAGAATAACCGAGCCTATTTCTAGTTGCATTTTGCATGTGCTGCATTAGCCATCTTAACATGAACTAGGATCATGCATTGATTACTAACTAGTTTCTGTTTTGGCTCGGAGTACACTGTGAGTGTTTACGCTTTAGCATACTGCATGTGTGTGAGTGTTGCCATGATAGCATGCTTGCCATGAGACTATTTACTTAAATGATATAACTGCCTGAATGCCTGTGGGTGAAGGTTGGATTACTCCAATTGGAACAATTCATCGAAATGCGAGTTTTAAACCCACTGGAGAGTGGCAAAATCATGTTTTCTAAGCCCACTTGAGGGTGACAAATCCACATCTCAGCCTACTTGCGAGTAGCAACTTTAAACCATTTTCAAACAAACATGAGATGTTTTGTTCTAACTTAGGCGATCTAGTCTATACTTGTGTGCTGTGTGCATCACTTAGTAATGCTAGTTAATAACCGGAATAAGAACACATGTGTTTTCAAAAACAAAATATCATGCTTAGTACAGGCCGATCTTTGATCGGGTGAGTGGGGGTGCTCATAGATGACCTTCCCCAATCGTACCCAAGTTCCCGAGCCACGGCAACTTTGGTGATGACGGATACGTGGCCTTAGGCAACGAGTCAGAGTTTCCTAAATTCCCTCAAAATAAAATATTTAGGTGGCGACTCTGTATCTAGCAAAGCAGTCCATGTTTGACACTTCTTTCTTAAAAATCAGTTTTCCAAAACGATTTGCCGGATTTGGACTCTTTGGTGATTTATCTGTCTCGTATTGCACTTTGCGGGATTAGATTCAGAACCGTGACATTTGAGTCCGAGCTGTAGTAGCAAAGCCCAAGGGCGCGTCTACAACTTATTACAACAATTATGCCCTCTCGACAGAGGGTTCGAATAAATAATACATGCCAACTAATTAACTAACTGACAAGCTAATTAATTATTACATAACCAAATGAATAACTAGCTACAACTAATTATTACAAAACTTAATTAATTAATAAATTAACTAATTACATTACAAAACCAAATGCTGACTAACAATTAAGGAAAACAGTAAATAATGTTGTTCCAGCTCTGGTTGGGGAAGAAGGGGATGTATGCTCGGTTCTTGTCCCGAAAGCTCTTCGGATGCTCTTTTGAGGCTCTGTCCGCAGGGTGTCCTTAAGGAATTCCTGTTGAACCTTACCAAAACTAGTCTGGGGAATACATCAGTGGCCTACCGGCCATGGGGAGCCACTGCCGACCATCTGCCAGCCAAAAGTGCACCCTGCCGGCCATCTGCAAGGCACTGTCGGCCACTGATGTGCTCGGACACCAAGCTGCAGCAGAGCACAAAATAGAGAAAATGGAGGGTCTCCCAAGGGTATGTACGCACTATGCCACCCCATATCACCTCGAAACATCAAGGGAGAGACATAATTGGATCCACGACCATCAATCATGCATCCCGATGCATGATGGCCAAAGATCTAACTTGTACAAATCAATGGGAAATGAATGCACAAGAAAAACACACAAGTGCCTAGAACTCTATCATGGATCATCAAGAGTGTCGGGGACCGAGAATTGAGATACGTTTCATCACTTGAAGTATGAAACGCCCCTCGTTCCTCGTGCTCAGATTAACACTTTAATCCAAACGACAATGCAACACAAGCATGCCATACATAATGCGACTCAAGCAAACAAACATGCAATATGACTTAAGCATGCAAACATGCAACTATATAGCATACTCAATGTAATATGAAATAAGCATACAAGCAACATGCAAGTGGACGTGTCAAATGGACTTAAACCAAAAAAAGGGGGTATACCTCAGTCATGCCCCAAATCAGTGGCCAAAAGTGTTGGAATGAGGGTACAAAAGCAAGGTATGCATGCACAATGCATTAGCCCAAGAATTAAAGCATAAGGACACAACTCTCAAACATGAGCAAAGAGTGATAATCATGATAATGTGGCAATGAGGTAATCTCTGAAATCATGCAAGGAGTGATGCCAAACCACCCAAACAAGTCAAACATAGCATGCAAGAAAGCTCAAAGTACGAAGCCAACAAAGGGACTTAAACCATGGCTGTGCAAGGCAAGCCCCGAAGGACTAAGGGCACCTAAAACAGTCCCTAGGCAGGTCAAGGTGAGACTAAAAACATGCTTGAACCTAGCCAATACAAGCTAGAACAAAGGTAAAAAACATGGAGCACACAAGGCTATAAAAGAGGTATTACATTACACCTATTAAAACCAAACATGGCATGACTTGGACAGCATAAAACAGAGTTACATCATGGTATAACAAGACCAAAAATGCAACTGAATAGATGTACCCGAAAGGCCTAAGCTTAATGGGCATGCACAATGATCCATTCATGAGGCATAAAATACAAACTCTTCAAGGCATTTAAAGCATGTCAAATGCAGGTGATATGACCAAATTTCATGGACTAAAATAACATTCGAAATGATGGCAAAGCATGCAAACATCATATGTATGGCATCGTAGAGGCCTCAAAACCCAAGGCTAGCCAAAGCATTTACACTATAGCTATACAAAACATGAGTGATATGACCATGGCAGCCCAAAACAGTCCTAGAACAGCCCAAAATAAGAGATAAAATCATGTGGAGCAAAGCCAAATATGTCTGGAATGAGTGAGTCAAATCACATGCACATAAGGCTAGTTTATGAGATTTACACTACAAGTGTATTGCACATGTATGGAGTGACAAAGCCAACCCAAAATAGATCTAAGGCATGGTAAAACATCACCAAAAACCTACTGAAATGGACTCAACACAAGCTAGGCAAACATGCTACTTTGATGAGCTACAAATGGGATTACACTACACATACAAGATGCATGCAAAAGGTGACCAAACCAGCCATGGACAGAGCCAAGGTAGGTCCTAAAAGTCACAAAAAAGGGCCTGAACCAAGCCTCAAAAATACATAGAGGCATGCTCCTTTGGAAGGCCAAAAATGCAAGCAAACAAAAACCAAAAGAGAGGGGGGCACCACCTCTAATTTGAGGCCTCAAAACCACATGTCTACCACTAAAAATCCATTGGATTTTAGTGGTTAGGAGGCCAAACCAAGTCTAGCTCGGAGGCCTTAAGGCATGGCTCAAAACAATGCCAAACAAGGCCAACAAGAGGGTTAAAGACCCTCAACAGCCAAAAGACCTTAAACAAACTTCAAAAGCACTTAAATACAAGACTTTTTTCAGTTGAAAGCAAGGCCTGAAATAATATGCAAGGATGGCCAAAATGAGGTACAAATAAATGCTAAAATGGGGAATATACTCACCCTTGAAGATCAACTTCGAAACTAGCAACCTCAGGGACCAAAAACCAAGTTTCAGAGCTCAAGTAACACTCCCAAGAACCTCAGCCCAAAGATGGTGGTGTATCTTTATGTGTTGTAGTGTAAAAGTGTAAGGAAAATGGACTTTAGAACACTATTCTATGCAATATAGAGAGAGAGAATGAGAAATATAGAGAGAGAGAGGTCTTTCTTCTCTAAAATAGCTGAACCTCTGCTAAGGAGAGTGCCTCTCCTTATATAGAAGATGAGCAATGCAAAGCTTGCTAAACAAGCTTGGCAAGAGCTTCATCCCTCCATACACGTGTATGGAGGGGAAAGTAATGAAAACCAGTTGGCTCAAAAGATTTGGCGTGAAACCTGCTGAGACAAGGGTTTTGCTGGCCATCAGCAGTGGCCGGCAGTGGCTTATTGATGGCCGGCAAGCTTCATCAATGGCCGGCAGGGCCAAAATGGGGCCGGTAGTGCACCAAGAGAATCAAGCTGGAAGGGCCAATACATGGTCCAAAAAAAGGGTAGAAAGGATACAGGGTTTGGAAAGCTCAAACCTGTGACGTTCCACCGCGACATTCGAGTACTCGACGAGCAATCGAACTAGTTGTTGGATGTACCTACAAGCACGACCAAATCTTGAAGACGGTCAAAAATGGGATGTCTACAGCTGCAGAATCGTTTAATAAATGGATACTTGATATGCGTAATTATCCAATCACAAGGTTGGTTGATACACTCAGAAATCAAATAATGACTATGAGGGCTCAGCGTAAAGTTTTGGCTACTAATTGGAATGGGTTAATTTGTCCGAATATGGAAAGCCATGTTAGGGAGGCGTACTCCAATGGTTGCACATGGATTATTGGCCAGTCAAATGAAGACATATATGAGGTCCATTCATTTCTAACGGTGTTGGTGGACATTGGCAAGCGTTCATGTTCTTGCTTTCAATGGCAATTGAACGGATTCCCATGTGCACATGCGGTGGTTGTAATACAGAGTAGTGGAAAGGATTTCAGTACATTTGTTGAACAATTTTTCACTGTCAATCAGTATAAAGCTGCTTATTTTGGATACATTCAACCAATACCAACAGTTGACAAACCCTCATTCTCGGAAGACGACTTCATCATATATCCACCGGCAGTTAAACGTCCTCCAGGGCGACCCAAGAAGAATCGAATACCATCTCGGGGAGAGAAACTAAGTCAGATTAGGTGCGGTCAATATGGCCGCATGGGCAGCCACAACCGAAAGACATGTATAGAACCAATTTAGTAATAGGCATTTAGCAGGAACTTTTGTAATCTGTTTTGAACAGCAGCATCGTATTATCGTAGTAGCATGTATCGAAGCCAATTGATGACAGATTTTAATAAGTGAAGACACTGTTTACAATTGATCATTTAGCTATTTTTTCTTTCACACTGTTTCATTCATATGTTGGTGTTACATGTTTATTTATTTGGTCATGCAAACGTTTTGTTCAGACCTGCAAATTATGTTTGACAAAATGTGTTGCACGCTAGCCTTATATGTTAGAAGACAATTATTTTGTAACATAGGTGATGTTGTTGTTATTGTCTCCGTATGACAGGTTATCATGCAACTAGGTAGTCAAAGTTAAATTACAGCAAATTCTTGACATATTATATTGTCAAAGCCAACCAAGATTCCTTCTTACCTTCTCATTCACATACACCTACCCACTCGCGATCACATTAAATTTGGCAATCTCATTTACACAAACGCATTCACATACCTATTTTCCCACTCAGTAAGAAAAGTGCACAAAACTGTTACACATTCGGCAGCACAATCTTGCTATTAAGTGTAGACAACAAAACCTGTTCTAACAAACATAATCACATCCTATTTCACATTCACTATCACGTAAACATAACAATTCACATGCACAAAACCACATTCACATCTGTATTTCACATTAGCAAAACTAGTGCAAAACACTGTCATACATTCACATTTGCATTTTGGGCGTAACAGGTATACAACCAAACCTGCTATGTCATTCACAATCACATCCAATTTCACATTCACCATCACATAAACGTAACCCTTCACATTCACATAACCACATTCACATTTGTATTTCACATTCGTAAAAAAAGTGCAAAACACTGTCATACATTCACATTTGCTTTTTGGGTGTTACAAGTACACAACCAAACTTGTTCTGTTATTCACATTCGCATTCCCTGTCACAATCGCTATCACATTTGCATACAACTTCACCCTCACTTAACCACTTCCATATTTGCAATTTCACACTCCCTAATACAAGTACCAAACACTGTCGTACATTCACAAACACAATCTGTGTATTAGAAATGAACAACCCACATTGTTTTATGGCATTACCATTCACATTCACCTCACATTATGAGTCATATTACCAATTACATTCACATTTACGCAACCACATTCACACTTATGTAGCCAACATTCCTACTGCCCTTAAATTCCTATTGACATTACTGAATGACACATAAAGCCATATTAACAAAATAAAGTGCATTCCCAAAAAAATCAATTAACCATTGTTGCCTATTCCCAAAACAAAATACATTAATCAGTAATCCATATTCACAATGCTACGAAAAACATCAAAAACTTCTAATTTTTCCTGTACCAGCAAACTTTTAATACCATTCCAAAGCAAAAACAGTGTGATTATATACCCAAAATATCAAATCTGCACCAATATACCACCATCAATAGATAGTCAATTACCAGCCACAAATGACCTTCTCCTGTCATTCACAAATGACTTCAGCATACCGGCTCGCATTGTTCTGCAGCTCTCCCCTCCCATTGACTTGTCAACATCTAGGTGACGCACAAGTTGCTTCATAATGAAGCATATTATAATTCCACAATCATTCCTATTACGAAAATTTAAGTCATTAGTAACAATGTCAAAACAGACCACGTGCAATGTACGGAAACATGAATGGCATACGTTGCAAAGAAACGTAACAAACTTACGTGTCTGGTTTTTGTTGTGGACAATAATCAACTACTAGAAGCTCTTTCACCAAGTCTTGTGTTTCAATTGTGCCCACCTTCAATCTGCGATTTATGTAATCCTTAAAGTAGGATTTCTACATTATTGTCAAATTTATATTACAATAATTAGTATTGTTGTCCAAAATAAAGTATAAATATCACTGCAAGAAAGTAATTGATGTTTACTAACTAGCAATGACGCTTCCCAGTAATGTTTGTCTTCCCTTCCACGTTTTGGTTTCATAGAGTTGTAATGCAGCTAAAACCCCTCCTCAGTGTTATAAACCATTAGTGTCCAATGGTTATCTAAGTGGATTGAGAATTGAATATATCTGGCCTTCAGGGCATGCGGGGCACGCAATGCCAAGTACCTGTCTCGTACATCTTCGGCCACATCTCTTATCGTAGGTTGCAAACATTTCATTTTGGAATTTTAAAATGACAAACTAAAAATGACAATATTCATTTCATCAGTTGCATGTCTTACCAAACATAATGTACTGAAAATGTATAATTTTTCGTCATCCGCGGATTTAGGTGCCTTCATCTGCTGCTCGTACATCAGCATTTCCGCGTAGGCATCAATCACCTACATGAAAAAGAAAACAATTTTTATTTTTCCTTCCCTTGTATACATGTACGTAAATTGCATTCTATGTGAAGAACCTTCAGAAGTTTGACGAATAATTAGAAGTACCATACTTACATTGCCTCGTAATGTCAGCCCCTTAACGATCGCCCGTATGTCATTGAAAGACACAGAGTTGGACACATGCGGTCCAGTCTAGAGTTTCGCACTACAATACATTTTTTGAACAATAAATTCATGTACAAATGCATAATGGTAAGAGCAAGTTGCATAGCCTACCTGTCACCCCCTTTCTCATATGTTTCTTTAAGCTTGTCTTTCTCTTGCGTTGATAACAACTTCCAGATTGGTAAACGATTAGTCAAGTCGAACCGAGAAAATGTCCTATCTAGGTCTGCAATGTTGTCAGCCTCAATGATCTCATCTTCCATTTCTTGTTTACTATCACACTCACTCCCATTGACCACACCACTATCAGATGGTTTCATCTGCCTCCCTAAAACTAGTGGATATTCATACTATGGCAGTTTATGCTCCTTCCTATTTTTCTTTTTAATGTTTCTCACAAGAAAGTTCTACAATGTAGTTGTTCTAGTGTTTTGATTAATACCAGCCATTAAATCCACATCACATGCCATTTGCCCAATGTCGTTGATCGGGGTCACATGAGTATCCACCCCTTGTAACTCTGTCTTCTCATTCACATCAGATGGAAACGATGTTGACAATGGAATAATGGCAAGTACGTTTGCCTCACAGTGGTACATTTCCTCATTACTTTGCTTCATCTCTTGTACACCAGTAGCTGCTTGGGTGTATTCATGGACTACGTACTCCTTCAACTGTTCCACGAGCTTCGCGTTTTTGTCATTAAGTTCATCCACTAGCTGTTTCATCTTTTCAATGTCACATTCCTTCTGCTTATTGTTCACTGTGATTTCATGTTCTAACTTGCCATATTTTTCTTCGTACGCTGCCCTTATTGTTGCCAGTTCTGTCTGTAATGCAAATATGACATCAGATTTACGTTGGAGTTCTATCTCAAGCACACCAATTTTAACCAGTGCTCTTTGATATTCTTCAGACGTAGACGCACCCCAAGGACACTGATCATTACTCTCAGCACCAACCCCACTGCGATTTGAACATTCGGCCTTTGCTCCAATTTGTTTAACGTCTTTTGTCTTCATGAAGCGCTGTTCAGAATGACTGATGTGCAGATCTCATACTACAACCTGCAAACAATTTAAAAATAAAAAATCAAAAATAGTAAATTGGCACATCTAATATTTACTCTAACGGTACAGAAAATCATACTTCAACATCATTTGGCTACTCAATGTCCATTGCTTTTATCTTTGTGACCAACTTGCTGATATTCCATTTCATAAACCTCGAAAATCCATCTCCACGATCTGCTTGTATCAAGTTGGTGTGCTCAAATATCCAAAACTATGTGACCATGGGTTAAAAACATTAGCTGTGAAAGTTTTTCAAAACAAATACAAAATTATATTGTGGGAAAAACAAAAAAACGGAGCACTTACAAGTAGGGCTGTAACACATCCGGTAACTTTCTCAAGCTTAGAGTAAAATCCCTTAATTGACTTCATCAAAGTTGTGCAGATTGCTCCAGCCCAATCATATTCCTTCATGTTGTCTAGATCCTCTACAACCCGGACGAACCCCCATCCCACGGTCTCGCCTGAAGTAGCAAAGAATAACTTCCCACACAAGTACAAACACAGTAACTTTGCTACATCCTGGTGATCCTGAGTAGTATTCCTGAGTAATGCATCCATTAACAGTTCCTTAATGGTCTTCAAGTTTATGTGTGCTATTTTGGGACACCTTCGTTGGATGAAGTCAGTTGGGAGTCTTGGCCCATGTGACACATCTAAACTCTTCTTACCACCTTGAATTCCAAATATTAGTTTTATATCGATGCTCGTCAACTCAATGTGTTTACCACCAATCATGAAAGTCGACTTCTCTAGAACAAATGTCTGAATGATCCTCATTACAATGTCATCACATTTTTGGAATTCATGTTGGTTTAGATCGGTTTTTCGCATCGCATCCAACAGCAACCAGAACGGTGTTTTCTGAAGATGTTGCAAATGCTCGTCTTTCAGTTTTGACGCTGCCACCAGCTTCACAATTCCAGCAATGTTGGAACGGTAGTAAAATGTTGGTTGTTTGTTCAGTCGTTGTTGAGGCTCATATTTCAGCTTCTTTCCTTTTCGGGCACTGCTTTGCCCTAATGCGTTCACATTCTGTGACGGGGTTTGAGACCGCCGTCTTTTACCAGTTGTAGTCCCTTCACTGCTGCTCACTTTTGCCTTGCAGCCTTTCTGTGGTGTACGTTTAATTGTGCCTCCTGAAAAAAATGCCACTAAAAGTTCACATTTCGTATACAAGTAAGATCCCACTGATAACGTATGTGAATATGTAATTTAATAGCAATACGTAACATTGCATGTTAGTATGTTCGTGATGTGACTAGTGTGTCTGAAAAGTACTTGACATAACTGTGACAAATTACACGCACACATTCACGGCCGTGGTTTCAAATGTGACTGAGAAGTACTTGATGTAACTGTGACAAATTACGTGCACACATTCACAACCATGGTTTCTAATGTGACTGAGAAGTACTTGA